ACCCCGGGGATCGAACTTGGGTCCTTGCATTTGCAAGGCAGGTGCTGGAACCACTGAGCTAAATCCCTGGCCCCCTGATTGTGGTATATTATGTAGCTTTCTGAGCTACAGCTTTCTCCTCCGAAAAATGGGCCATAATAATGCCTACCTCACAGGGTTCTAATGAGAATTAAAGAGGATGACTGGTTAACTTGCAGTCATTGCTCAAGATCGAACTTGGGTCCTTGCATTTGCAAGGCAGGTGCTGGAACCACTGAGCTAAATCCCTGGCCCCCTGATTGTGGTATATTATGTAGCTTTCTGAGCTACAGCTTTCTCCTCCGAAAAATGGGCCATAATAATGCCTACCTCACAGGGTTCTAATGAGAATTAAAGAGGATGACTGGTTAACTTGCAGTCATTGCTCAAAATGTGGCTGTTGCCATCCTCATCTGTGGGTGGGGTGTTTAGACCACCCGCATAGATAATATGATCTCCAAGTTCTGTGATGTTCCCATGGTAGAGGGTTCAAAGATTGAGCTGTGTTTCCTGGCTGTGTTCCCACCTTTCTCCGGTCCAGTGCATTATAAATCATCCAGGAGTTTGCAGCTTCTCTGCCACCCATCACTGATGACTAGAGAGGTGGAGAGGAAACTAGAGTGAGATAAGTATGATTGTTGATTTGGGTACATTTCTCATACATCCAGGGGAACTGGAGGCGTGAGGCAGGTAAGAGGAATGGGAAATCAAGTTCTTCCTGCAAGTGACTACAAGATAGTTGCAGCGCTGCAAATGAGAGGAGCTGGCCAGCTGCTCAGGGAGGTCTTTGTTAATGCATTCCCACCAAGGAATCTCATGATTGTGAAGCCTTTTATAACCAGCTGAGTTCTGAAGTACAAGCAGGGGCACCAGCCCATAGCCAAACCATTAAGACATATTAACATATGCTGGGCCCAATTACTCACATAGATTTAATTTGTTTTACTGCTGGAAGAAAGTCCTGCAGGGGAACCAAACACATACTGAAAAACAGTTCTATAGCTACTCTGAATCCATTACTTGTCAGCACATTAGGGCTGAAAGCTGCTTAACTTGGACATTTCCCAAAGAAGGACGATATATTTGAAAATTCATCCTGAGTGAGGTCGGGTGGTGGGCACTTATGCAGGTTATGTGGATTCTGCCTCAGTGGTGGTTTTCTTCTTCCTGTGTAACCTACCATTCATTATTTTTATAAAGAATCATTCTAATTTCTCAAAATAATGGGCTGAGTTATAAAATGAAATAAGCATATTTTATAAACAAATATACTTAGCATATTTATTTATTTGCATCATCTTTGCTCTTTTTCAAAGAGACCTAAACTAAAAATGAGATTTTTCAGAGCCGGGGATTTATCTCCGTGGCACCATGCCTACCTCACAAGCACAAGGGTCCCAAGTTAGATCCCTGGTACCAAAAAAAAAAAAAAATGACATTGTTCATGCATTTCTGAAATGTGGCCTTCGTTCCTTCCTAGGTATTTTTGTTATTATTGTTAATCTTTGCATAATTGTTACTTTTGGTTGTCTCACTATTGGGAAAAGAAGGTCTCCTTGACACACTAAATTCCATTTTTCACAATGAAAGCAAATATAGACTCTCTCATCAAGGTTATTCTAGGATGTGACTATCATAAAACGCCCCTCCCCGGATAATAGCACAGTCTTGTCCCTGAGGTTGGTGAATGGGCCTTAGCAACATCCTGTGGTGGCTGCTAAAGAGCCCAGAGCAACTTCTCTCAAAATATTAACTTCCACAGGGTTGATCACCTGTTTGAGAAATGATGCATTTAGAGTGATAAATGACTTGTTCTGTCTCTATAATGGTGATAGCTTCCCTGAAGATTTTTCCCATATATTAAATGTATGTCATTCTATGCAAGGACCATAATCCTAGAATTGCTTAAAAAATAGATACGCCCTATACTCTTAAGTGAAATAAATAAGAAAAACAGGTGTAAATACCGAATAGTCTCTCTGCTGTGAAAAATCAAAAGTACAAGTAAGGTTCAAATTGTATAATTGATAAAATGAAATAGGGTAAAAAGGGCTAAAGGAGGTAGTGGAAATGAGAGGGGTAGATGAAAGGTAAAAAGGGAAAAGAAAAAATATGAGTAAAGGAAAAAATGGAAACAAAGTCTTTGTAAATAGGGAAGGGTGGAGGGGGTAAAGGGAGGGCAGTGGAATAAGGAAAAAAGAACCAAGATACATCATGTAAAGATGAAAGATCCCAATGATGAATGTAACTGTACTGTATACCTAAAATGTACCAATAAACTTAATGAAAAAAAATAGGCCCTTTCTAGGGAGGAAATAGATATAAAAATTTTCTGTGCATCCTGATGGCCTTACAGGTTTACTACACTTCCCTTGGGGTTGCTTTGTGACCACCTCTTCCTTTTCCTCCTACTGTATGCTTTCGATTTTGCAGTTATGTGATAACTCAAATGTGTTCACAGTGCAAAATCATTTTCTGTGGGCAACATTTGACTCAAACTATGATCCTCATTTTGGAAATCGGGCAGGTCAGAGTGCAATATCTCCAGATGACAACTTGCTAAAAGATATTTTGGTTGCTTCTCAATTTGCTCTTCCTTCCTCGGAAGCCCAGTTAGAAAGCATCATTTGACTTCATGTATAGAAGCATTTTTAATAGAGGGCAAGAATTTCAAGCAACTAGAGATGTATACCTTATTCTGCTGGCCTTGGAAAGCCTCCCAACCTTCTCAAGTGTAGACAATATTCAGTTATTTTATTGATAAGCAGTCTTTGAAACTAGATCTAACAGTGTGGCTATAAATGTCTTAAATTAGCTGTGCCCTCAGAGATTATTTATTTCTGTCTTTCCTCTTTCAAACAGAAAACTTAAGATGTCTCACAATAGAAGCCAAATGTAATAAAATTGTTGACCTACAATTTGAAAATCATGAAAAGTGGAAAGAAATATGCTAGCCAAGGTAGATAATGAAATTACTGTCCTGAGACAATCTAAAGATCCTGTAATAAATGGATGATGAAATACATAATGGTCTGAACATGTGATGTAAGATTATGTAGCCATTGTGTGCTTGCAATGCAATATTAAGAAGAGATTTTAAAACTATAAAATTAGCTATGTATTTAAAAACTCCAGAAAAATATTGGAAGAAAATGCACCAGCATATTATCTGTGGTTGATGAGATGAAGTGACTTCCATTTTCATCTTTATATTTCTGTCTTTTATTCAGGCAGCTATACTGAATATACATTACTTTTAATATAATCATATGTAAACATTATTTCTCCAGTTGAGTTTCCCAGTGGAAAACAATCATGACTTGTATGATTCCTGTTATGTGTTAAGAAAACTGTCTCAGTTCTTCAGAGTAAATTTTCCCTTGCTACTAAATTCCAAGAGATTTATTGAATATATATTGAGTATGTATGTACAGATCTTGATAAGGTTCTCAGAGCACTTGCAGGAGGACACTCCTTTTGACTGTTTTATGACCACTCCCAAGAAAAACAGGCCAAGGCCACGAGAAAATCTGTGACTGACTGGGTTTCTGTCTCTGAATTGTTTGGAATTTTCAAGTGCTTCATTTGCCTTTATCCAAATCAACAGTGTGAGATGAGCCTTATAAATGCAGAGGACAGCTCTCACTTAGTTCACACCTTGAGGACTGAATTTACCACCCCTGGAAAATTGTCTTTTAAGAATGAATGTAATTTTATTTCTCCCAAATCTTCTTGCAGGTGTTGCCGCCCTGGATTCCAGTGTATCTGGAAAAATTGGTCTGCGGGCTGTAGTGTATTATTTCTGTACCACCGTCATTGCTGTTATTCTAGGTAACATTTATTTCTGAATCCTTTTCCTCTATTCAGTTGTGACGTTTCCCTCAAAAATTACTTGGACTTTGTAAAATACACATTTTAAATCAGAAAGTAACATTGTCAAACTACTCTAGCTCTTTTGGCTTTGAAGTCTCCATAGCGCCCATTATATAAACAAAAGGCAATCCTGACTGTATTTTAGCCCTGGTGCTGCTTATTAAGGTCTACTAAGACGCAAAAAGAAGGTGACAGTTCTGTGCCTTGTCAGGATCATTAGGCAGAAGAAAGTGAAGTCAAGAGCTTACAAAAATCTTAAACTGGATAATTAATAGAGTTGAATATAATTTTTAAAATACTTCCAGAAAGGTAGCATTTCAACGTATTTCATGTTTCACACAGTAAGGCTCAGGGCTAACAGTCTTGCTAAGTATATAAGCCTCACTTTTTAAAAGGGAAGCAGTTCTAATAAAGGGAATGGCTGCTCTTGCACCTTTACATGGTTTTATGAAAGAAGCTTTGTCGAACCATCATGACATCTCATGACACTTTAAGAAGGATGCCCAGAGTGGGAGGAAAGGAAGGAAATGTGCTCAGGTGTGGCAGCCGCTTGACTTTTGCAGCTCTTCTTTAATGAATGGATAAAAAGTGGTAGGATAGGGAGGTTTTGGTGGTATTCAGAGGTTTAGCCAGGGAGCCCCAGAGGGCCTGAACTCTGCCCTAAACCAAAGCCACATCTCCTCTCCTGGGGGAGACAAAGAAAAAGTAGCAGAGAGAATGGAAGGTAGCACTTTTTGTGCAGCCCTGAGTCCACCCCCTGTAGGACATGCTCCCACCTCAGAGCTTTCCAGATATCTGAAGGTGTGTGTTATGGAAGATAAGACAAGGCTTGGTCTGTGTGACCCTCAGGAGAATGACCAGCATCTGTGGGCAAAAGTTAAAGATGTTGAACAGGTTAACTGGGCTGAGAAGTGAAACACCCTCACCCCAACACTTGCGTAGGCTGATTTCATAGGCTGAAGAAAAGAAAAAAGAATGTTCTCATTGGCAGGTGTTTCCAGAAGGAACCCTGGGATGAACCTTTTTCAAAAAAGAAAAACAGGAAGTACTTTCTGCTTAATCATTTCAGTGAAAACTTACTAAGGCAGCTGCTGTGGTTCTAGCAGGGGCCCCACACTTTGGCTTGACCTTGGGGTCCTCCTCACAACAGTGTTGCCTGCTACCACTCTGCCTGTTTGTTGTAAGCAGAGTATACCAGGATGCCTTCCAGGGACCCTGGAAGTTCTTCATGCTATGTGGATCCTGTCCTTGGTCACAGGTATTGTGCTGGTGGTGACCATCAAACCCGGTGTCACCCAGAAGGTATCTGAAATCGACAGGACGGGTAGCACCCCTGAAGTCAGCACAGTGGATGCCATGTTAGACTTGATCAGGTGAGTCTTGGCTTCCTTGTGTCATCTCTGTAGTTGCACAGGGCCCTGTGCATGGCTTAATGCTCTGCTGTCACAGTGTTAAATTTTTAAACATTTTTGAACTATTGTGTATCTCCATTTTGCAATAAACCCCACAATTGCATAGCCAGTTATTTCTGGTCCTGGTTTTAGGATGGAAGCCAATGTGAAAAGTATCCTTGTTGTATAAAGATGCTGGGCTGGATTGGATGATCATTTCTGAAGCACCCTTGGAGAAATACATCTTGTGGAGGGGTGTTTGTTTTGGTACTGGGGATCGAACTCAGGACCTTGTGCTTGTGAGGCAGGCAGCAAGAACCACTGAGCTAAATCCCTGGTCTGAGAAATACATTTTTAATGGTATAGCAAATAATCATCTTAACTAAAGCAGTGAGAGCCAGAAACAGGTCAGTTGATTGAAATAGCAAAGCAGAGACTTGTGGAAATGTTATAGAATATGCGTTACATATTTTGTTACCATTTAAATGCATTTATTCACCAGTTTTTTATGTAGGGCCATGGTCTTTGAGTGCATCTGTTTACTATAATTTCATAGCTTTCTGTTTCTTATGCTGCCCTTTTAGATACATAACCTACACATTCCAAATTCTGTTTCTAGTGTAACAACCAAACGTCAGATACTGCAAAGAAAACCAAGTACCAAATCCTCCTAGTTTTTCTTTTTATTTCCACTGTCTTCCCATAACTGATTTAACCACAAAAATAGTTGTTTGCCTTTTGAACTGCCAGGCATGCAGCTTAGGTTTTTAATGGAAACTACACCTTTTTCACACATTTCACCAGTTTATATCATATTGAGGTCAGTAATTACAATATTTGCACTTGGTATAAAATTTTGGAACAAATACAGGACAGTATTTTTAAGCATATTGCCTACTTATGAAAACAGTAATGTGCAGAAAATTAAAGAGTTGTCTCTTGCCTGGGAGTGCAGCATCTCATTGAGTTCAGCCTATCACTAGACTGTTCCGTGACCGTTGCTGGACAGTTTTCTATATTCAGTTTAGGCTCGGGATGAAAGAAGTTTAATGCAAGGAAGTATTATACAAAGGAGCAGCCAGAAGAGAGAACAGTACTCACTCTATATTGTGTTCATTTCCTCTGATGTATGAGGATTCAATGACAAAAATAACCCACTTTTTGCCCTGCCATAATACTGCTTTTCATATCTCCAACAGGAATATGTTCCCTGAGAACCTTGTCCAAGCCTGTTTTCAGCAGGTAATATTAATAATTTTTGTCCTCAATTGCTCCCCTCTTCCTCTTACCAATTAAGACTTTTTTTTCCTGCTATGGCCCAGGAAATGAAACTACCCCCTCAGAAATGGCCACAGGACTCTCAGGTGCCTCATCTGTTTTAGACCCATGGCTTTCCCAGTCCACAGCGCATCTCATAATTTGCACTGCTTCCTTTTCCTCTGTGCCTTTTTCCTTCATAAGGCCTAACAAGGAGCAAAAAAAAAAAAGTCTGCCAAAAATTAGTCTTTTAAAATGTGGCCTTTATCATCTAGTTTGGAGAATCGTGTTATATTTGTAAAGTCCTTGCATTAATGACTCTCTACAGATGCAATGCAGTGGAAAAAAAGGGGCGGGGACTCTCCATCTCCTCTCTCCTGTCCATGTCATACTGACAGTCCGTGTCTAACCCACAGGACGCGGCTGGTGTTCCTGGGATTAGCTTCTTTCCTTAATCATTATGTGCCCATTGCTGGCATTCTGAGAGCAGTGGATAAAGCTGTGGCTTTTTTCTCCAGCAAATTTTAACAGTCTCTTTGCTTTATTCACAAGTATTTTTTTCTATCTATCTGTGTACTTTAAGACAGCTGAGTCTATCACAGACTGCTGTATTCATTTACATAAATTACATGAACAGAGTCCTCTGTGTACACCAACAAAAATGGCAATGATATTGCTCCCTGCCAACCTCCATGAGGCACAGAACACCTCTATTTCAAGAGTGCCCTTCCAGATCAGCTACAGTTAGTCATTTGTAAGGGTCTCAGTATTGGCAGTGCCCTATAGGGGGAACATTTATGCCTGGTATAATAAATAATACACTAGCTCTTAAACCTCTGTGTTGAAGCTTACACAGAACCAAACTGCTGAAGGAAGAGAATTCGACAGAACTCATTCACAAGAATAGCTCTGAAAGGAGTGTTGATTTGGGGACGGGAATCTAGTTAAACCTTTCTTGATATTTATTAAATTTATGGTGACAACTTTTACCAAAGTGATGAGGTGATTTTTCCATATTAAAAATAATAAAGTGATCAACAGGAATTCCTACAAGATCTGTCTGTGAAGGTGCCTACAAATAAAACATCTTTCACATGTCTTCATTAACTTGTCCCTTATTATGAAAGTGAGAATTCATTCTGACAGTATTGAGTGGTAGTTGTGGAAGTCAGAGGTTTGTGATTCTTTATTGTTTTTAGTTCTAAATCCTAATGGGTGGAGTCATCAAAAACTAGAAACAAAAGAGTCATCAGAGACAGAATCCTTGGTGGCACTTGTTTGGCCAAAATAATGTATTCCTGTGGTACAACAACCTCAGAAGTTAAAAAAGCTCTGTTTTATATTTGCTTGTTTTTGTTTTTGTGCAATGTGCAGTATAAAACCAAGCGTGAAGAAATACAGTCTCCCGGTGATTCCCCAAGGAATACAACAGAGGAGCCTGTCACCCACATCACAACAGTTTCGGAGGTACCATTCTGTCTCCCGCTCAACTTTCCCAGTAGGCCTTTGCCAGTCACAAATAGGCAGGAGATGGAAAGATAGTCTGTGTCATCCACACAATCCACATTTGTGAATCCACCTCCTGGCTAAAACTTCTTTGTAAACCCAAATTCAGTACTTATGGTCATTTGCAAAGACCACACAGAATTTCAGCCAATCACCCAAGAGTTCTCAGCTGCGGATGAACAAGGTTACACTCTGCCTTCTTGTTTATGCATTTTGTGGTAATGTTCAGTATGTTTGTGTCTGTGTGTTGTGTGTGTGCTTTTTCTTTGCTATGTTGTTGATTAAAATGAACCAAATCCTAGTGATAAAGTGTTCTCCAGTGTTCCTAAGCACAAAAATGCTGTGATGTGGCTTATGGAGAAGATAGGTACATGGAAAAAGTAGCTTCATTCAGGCATGAGTTATAGTTCTGTTGACCATGAGTTGAATGTTAATGGATCAACAATGCATACTGAATGAGATGTCTTTAAATAGAAACACATAAAACAACGTCGGGTATGATGTAAATGATGTGACCAGGGTCCCCAGGAACCTAACCTTGTATTTCTTCTAGGAGCAGTAGTTCCATATTTGCTAACTCAGTGTTCCTGCGGTCGTTATATGGCATGACTACCAGGAATAAAAAGAATCAACTGCGTAGAGAGAAAAAAATGAGACTTGTTGCCACTGTCTCTCTGCCACTCCTTACAGGTGGACACCTCAGGCACTGCTGTAGATTTGTGAGGCTTTGTAAACACACAATACAGCCACATAGTTCTTCATGCAGATCCCTCTGTGGGCCTAAATGGTGCCTTTTTAGGCCCATACTAGACTTCTCCTGGCTGCTCTCTGCTCTCACACAAAAAGGAAACGAAGGAAAAGAGAAAGATTCAGAAGACTTAAGAATTAAATAGAGGGTATGGTCAGAGGCCTCCATGGTCTGGCTTCTCTTAAGTTTTTCCCAGCTTATTTCCCAGTGGAGCCTCCTCAGTCATTATTCTTGCCTTTTGATGTTTCAAAAACATTTTTCTGAGCCCCCTTCACATGGCAGGTCTTACTGGGCATTACAGTTACAATAGTTGAAAGATAAGATATCGCATGGGCCTACATGCAAAAAGTGGTTTTACAATTGGGAAGAACAGGATGCTTTGGAACATTCAACAGGGAGTTTTAAGTTAGTTTAGGGGTCATAAAGGATGAACAAGGATTATTAGAGCAGATTACAAAGGCCCAATACACCTGACTTTTGCCTTTGTTTGCCATTTTCTGGAACATGCTGTATCTCCTGGCTGCCTACTCTCAAATCTAGCTTTCTCTGTCTGTGAAACCCATTCATGGCCCAGGCTCTATATGATGATTTTAAATCACACCTTGGCATCAGTTAATTACACACCAACCTGGAATTGGCCCGTGTTTCTCACAGATTGTCTTGTCTCTCCAGCTGAATTTGAAGACCTCATGCTATAGCTAATGCTGTTGGAAAATCCCAGCTTACTCCATAAATATTTGTTTCATCATAAATAAGAAAGGACTGGCATCCCATTGGTTCATCAACACAATTCTTTATTGTACCGCTCAGATTGTTACGTACTCTCAGTAAAACTCATGCTATATTTGTCTGGGATAAAGTGAAGAAATGATTCATGTTAGCAAATATCTGGCTAATTGTTGTATCTCTAAAATCCTTTTGATCATCCAAGACCAGAGGCAGTGAAAAATGTTCCTATGCTTCATTTTTAGGGCAAAACAGATAGCAAAATGTCCTAAAAAGGTTCAGTCTGGTATTTTGTACTTCCTGCATTATTAATTTCTTTCTTAAAATAGACTCCAAATGTAGCTAGTAGTTAAAATAACACTGAAAAGAGCCGATTCTAAAATTCATAATAAAAATGTAAAACATTCCAAAATTAGAAATTTTCAAGAGAAATATTCAAATATGAACTTGTTAAGAGGAGGAAAAAACTTAAGCTGTGATGGGGAGGATAATTTTTATTACATATGCAGGGATGATGATCATCATGAAAACGATAATGACTAAATTTCCTAAAGTAATGTTGGCTCTGAGTAGGAGATCACTGTGATTGTAATCATGCATCAATATATTTTCTTGGTTTTGATCCACAGAACAAAATGAAGGAATACAAAATTGTAGGCAATTATGCAGATGGCATAAATGTCCTGGGTTTGATTATCTTTTGCCTCGTATTTGGACTTGTCATTGGAAAAATGGGAGAAAAGGGACAGATTTTGGTGGATTTCTTCAATGCTTTGAGTGATGCAACCATGAAAATCGTTCAGATCATTATGTGGTGAGCGGACACTATTTAATGCCATTTTGCTTCCCCTGAACAACTCTGTCTCCTCAAAATTAGAAAGAAGAAGCTAATGTTCCTCAGCTGGCCTCTTCCTAGAGGAAGTAGATGCTGCAGCTCCAGACACTAGAGTAGTAAATAACTCCACATACTGTTCAGGAGTTCATTCTTCAATAAAGGGCTGTCAGCCCTTGTCTTTCCCTCAAAGCCTCGGGGGGTCAACTTGCACCCAACGGGCATTCGTGTAAGAAGTGACTCTTAAGGCAATGACTTGAATAGTTTCTTGCACATCAGAACACAAAGTGCTTTCCTTCTTAGGCCCCAGGCAGAAGTGAGATTTAAAATATTGATAACTGCTCCAGTGCGGGTCTAACCCATCTGAAGGAAAGCTGCCATCTCAGTACTGCACTGTCTCTGAGATACCAGGAACTACACTTTTCCTGAGAGACCTCTGCCTCACTTATTTCTTATCAGATTGGTTCAGTATTATTTAATCCAAAGGTAGACAGTGCTAGTGATATAAAAGACTCACTAATAACAGGTAGGTGAGTCACTTCATCCTGCAAAAACCTCAGCTTCATCATCTGTAAAAAAGGATAATAATAAAAATTATGTCCAGGGATAGAAGAGTACCTTAAGTGAAATGATACATATAAAATGTTTTCCTCAACCCAAGACATGAGTTCCACAAATAGAGCTAGTATGACCACTCCACTACTACTACCATTGTCTCTCTTGCTGATATCTGAGAGACAAAATGACCATGGCTAGAAAGAGCCTAGCATCCATATTTTGTAGTGGGAGTTAAGTGCAAGTGAGATAAGCAGATATGACAAATCTATAGGATGTATGTGCACTTGTGTTTGCTTATGATGGGGTATGCACCAGTCTGACCATAGATTCTTGTCAAGTTTGCAAACTACTCTCAGTAGTTTACATGGCAGAATCTAACATGTGCGCAAGTACTACAGACTAGAGCCAGGAGTCTACCCAGGACTGGGAGCTGAGCCCTTGGTTTCATGCTGTGTTCCCTGTGCTCTGAGGGTGTATGCCCTGGCTTATTTCTTCCCCAACATCCCCAGCCAGAGAAAAATCCCTGATGATGGAATTGTGTCTTTGTTGTGCTTGCTTCTTAGCTATATGCCACTTGGTATTTTGTTCCTGATTGCTGGGAAAATCATAGAAGTCGAAGACTGGGAAATATTCCGCAAGCTGGGTCTTTACATGGCCACCGTCCTGAGTGGGTATGTCTGACTCAAGAGAAGAAACAAAAATTTCATTGGTCCACTCGGATTGCTGCAGGGAGACTTGGGTATCATTGGTTAAAGTCAGCTTTGCTCTGCTCCTTAGTGCAGGGAAAGATAATGTTCAGAAATAAGAGAGCAGGGGTAGAGAGCTGTCCTTTAACAGCTGTACTGTAGGTGGATCATTTTGGGCTAATTTCCAGCTCTTGGCAGAACAGCCTGGACCAGGCTTTGCTACTGATGTTGTTGGTTGTGTTTAAACAAATTTTTTTTTTAAACTAGACAGAAAGCCACTCATGGCTTTTTCTAGCTGCTTACTGCCTACTACTTCCTCAAGAATATAAACCAGCCAGGCAATCAGGGAAAGCCCCCTGCATACTCTTGACACTGGAGTTATACAGCAGAGCCCCAACTCTGGGCAGCGGTGGTGGAGGGGAATCCCAACAGACCAGACCGGGCCACGTGGCCCAAAACACCAATGAAGAGGAGGAACAGTGGTGAAAGGCAGAAAGGTTTACTCAGCATGCCCGTGCCACAAGGACAGATAGAGAAGTTCAAGACCTTTCTTTACAGGGCTGACAGAAACTCTGTAGTGTTTTATAGAAAAGAGGAATGAAGGCAAGGATTGAGGGTGTGTATAGCGGGCAGCGTAGGTAATCCTGGCCAAGTGTGGGCTGGTTGAGTTATATCAGGACAGGTCCTTTGAGGTCTGGAGAGCCTTCATCACTTGAGAAGAGAATTCAGTTCCCTTCCTGAGGTGATGGCTCTTACTTTGGAATGTGCCCAGGTCCATCACATGAGAAATGGTCCTGCTTGAGGTGACCTCATTGCAGGGTGGTCTGTGGGCCTCTGCTTTTCCTGGACTCTGAGGAGTAGCCCTAGGATAATGACTGGAGATTTCTAGGCATCCCTCAAGGGAATGTGAAAAGAACAGTATAAAAGCAGGCAATTGGATCCCTGCAAATCCTGCAAATTACTTCAGTTACTCTTGGTATCGTCAGTGTTAAAGTGGGATGATACAGGCTAGGTAAGCTTAGTGCTAATTATCCTTGTATTACTAGTTTTTAGACAGATACTCCTTAAGGGATTAACTTGCCAATATGCAGAGATGAGCAAGAATTTGGTCCAAAGTTTTAACATAAAAGAAACAATATAAAGTGAAGGTAGGGTTACTAAGATTCATCCTAATTTTAGTTACCCATCGGGCAGCTGCAGGACCAGCCTCTAAGTTCCTATTATATATGGAGATTGAAAGAAATCAGACTCACACTGGTAGGAGCAGGAGGGCTAATTGGTTCAACTGCTATTCCTCAAGCTCGTAGCTGCTGACATGGCCTTCATCAGGGTGTCAGGGAGAGTGCTGGGGAAATCATTAGGCTACTAGTAATTGTGCGAGGCCATAGGAAAGCAGGATGGATCATTTGCAGGTTGTTCCTTCAGAAGAAAGGCAGGGGGGTAGCTTACAAATGGTGCTCCAAACATAGGCAAGGGCAGAGTATGCCATGCATGCTAAGAAATACAGGCCAAGGAAAGACATAAATAGTATTGATTTGACTTCTGCAGGTCAAACACCCAACACAAGCCAGCTCACATATTGGAATTGATTTCACTGGAGAGTTTCTGCTGCACACAGTGGTTCTTAATTTGTGTTTGCCAGAAGTGCAGCCCTGCCAGCCAGAACACAAGCAGCCTGAGTTTCTGCAGTGGGAGGGCCAGAGTCAAATCCCAGAGCCACAGAGGTCAGTGAGGCGGACAACCTACCTCCCCAGCGGCCAGCCCTTCTCTAGGCTGCTGAAATAGGCAGTACCAGACCTGTGTCTAGGCCTGTGATCCTCAGCCCTTCTACAGTAGAGTTCTGCTGATTTCTTTTCCCTGGTAATATATAGATCTCTAACAAAAACTAAAAGTTATAATTAAAAACTCATAATTGTTAGCTATAAGCCCTCTGTTGAAAAGACCCCATCCTGACACCTCCAGAATTTGTATTTGCAATGATCCTATATTATTTCCACTTTACATAATGGATCTGTAGATTCTTAAGTCCCACTTACATATACATGCCATGTGCCAAATGGATCTCATTTCTATTTTGGGCAATCCTTATATTTCCATGTGGAACGAGGAATAATTTGGGAAGACAGGAATAATAAAGAAAAGAAGGCCAGTCTTAAAAGTTTGTGAAGAAGCAAGGACTTCTCCCTTATGCAGTTCTGATTTCCCCAAATGGACACTATTGAGGAAGACAGTGGTATGACCCAGGGGACAGAGAGAAGCTACGATGAGGGTTATGAGAGGGTATCGCAGGGAACAAAGAGAAAAAATCATTTGTACCTGGGAATGTGAAGGTGATGCAAAATGGAGAGCATCTTCACACATGGCAGAAATAGCACCTTACAGGGATAACAGCCAGCTTCATGTAACCCTTGGCTCGGCTATTGAATCTACCCTTGCCTTTGAAGAGATGTTTCTTTACTGACTGAGCCCCTCAGCATCCTCACCTGTGGAATAAGGACATTTAAATTCCTGCTCGACTTCCCCTTTTCTCATTGGTTCATTCTGACAGTTGAAAAGTATCATGATTTAAAAAGCTGAAAAAGGATTAAGTACAACGAGGTGGTATTCTCTAAAACTGGTTTTCTCTTTCTTTCTCTCTCATTTGCAGGCTTGCAATCCACTCCATTGTAATTCTCCCACTGATCTATTTCATAGTTGTACGGAAGAACCCTTTCCAATTTGCCATGGGCATGGCCCAGGCTCTGCTCACAGCTCTCATGATCTCTTCCAGGTAACTAGCAAAGGGGTTTCTGGGAGAAGCCTCCAGGCCACACTGTATCACCTCTCACTTCACCTGATGATGCAAACTCTGGTTTGTGGTTTTTTAGCACCTTTGAGAGATAGCCTCATACTTTCTTCCCTGCCCGTGGCACATTTCTTCATGCTCTTAAATGTTCTCTGCGCCTTTGGCATGGCCTACAACCCAGGAAGGAGTCCCAGTACAACTGGGGCAGTGATGAGCACAGCACCATCTGACTTCTGAACTCGCCAAAGAGCCAGCAAGCTTCAGGCCCTTTGTTTACTTTTTCAAAGAGAGGCATCTTTTCAGATGGGGACTGGAGGCAGGCATTCTTATACCTTATACCTTTTTTTTTTTTTCATACAGTTCAGCAACCCTACCTGTCACCTTCCGCTGTGCAGAAGAAAAGAATCAGGTGGACAAGAGGATCACTAGATTCGTGTTGCCCGTTGGTGCCACAATCAACATGGATGGTACTGCACTCTATGAAGCAGTGGCAGCTGTGTTTATTGCACAGTTGAATGACTTGGACCTGAGCGTTGGGCAGATCATCACTATCAGGTGAGAATGGTGTCACATTTATTGCCATCACTCTTACTAGGATTGCCTCAAGAAAAATGACCTGGCTCAGTGATGGATTGTTTTGTTTTGTTTTTGTTTGGTCTGCAAAGTCCCATCCCAAAATGAAGTACAAATAATGGACTCATGGTACCCAAAATTTCTGCTTCAGGATCTGGGTAGCCAAAGCATCACTCTGCTGAATTCAGTGCACCTAGTAAGTCCCAAGTGCAGAGTAGGCATCAAAGACTCAGAATTGAATGAGGGCCGGTGCGTGCTTTCTGTGGGTCCCTGGTAGGTAGGGAATTGATATCCAAATAGTGGTGAAAGCTGTGATGGGGTCATCACAGAATTTTGTACAGTAGTCAGAGGAGAGAAGAATTACCTCCCTTGGAAGGTGAGGAAAGACTTCCTGGGGGAGGAAGTAGACTGAATCTTAGATGAGGAATGAGAGTGTAACAGGCCAAGGCAGAGGATAAAATCTTTGGATAGCAGAAGTAGCTCACACAGGGTTCATACAGGGCTGGTTCCAGAGTACAGATGATTTGGTATGACCAGAACAAGGAGTATAATGTAGAGCGTGTAAAAGAATGAGGAGGCCAGAGTCTTATCATGAGAAGCTTTATAGGGGGAGCTCATGCATCATGGACAGATTAGCATCTTAGAGAGGTAACTGGAAATGTGATGGTTGGATTGGAGGGAGCATGGATCACAAGCTGGAAAACCAGTTTGGCCCAGGTAAGGTACTTAAAGGACCACATCAAGGCACTGATGCTGGGTATAAAAAAGAACAAATGAACAAGCATCAGCTGGATTTCAAGTGAGGACAGGGGAAGACTAGGATGACTCCCAGGATGGGGAGATACACTGGATTGGTGGAGGGGGCTTTTCTAGGATAAGCGAAGCAAGAGAAGATGAAAAATGTTTTGAATCCCTTGAATATGAGATGCTGTTAAGATTTCCCTGTGGATTCAGGCATGGTGGTGTCCACCCGTAATCCTAGAATTTAGAGAGGATGGAGGCAGATGGGTCACAAGTTTGAGCCCAGCCTAGGCATCTTAGTGACTTAGCAAAACTAACCCATCTTAAAATTTTAAATAAATAAATGAACAAATAAATAGCTGGAGTATATAGCTCATCTCGATCCTCGCTGCTGGGGGTGGGTGGGACTTCCAGCTAGATCTATGCAATGAGAAACAGGTCTGGACTGCAGATACAGAAGTCGGGATCATCATGCTGGTGGTCATCAGACGTGTGTGTCATGACTCGGGTGTCTGCGTTTGCATCTCAGCAACACTGATTAGTTGTGACCTTGGGCAAGAGACTTGCATGCTCTAGCTTCTGTTTTCTCACCTGTAAACTGAGGTTCATAATAGTACCTACTGTTTATTCAAGTAGTAGTGATCAAATAAGCTGATGTATATAAAATGTTTAGTGCCTACATAGTGAGGATCCAGCACACAATGAGGAACAGGTGACGTTATGTACAGAGTTTGCAGCAAAGAGACTGAAACGAAGGGCTGAGCCTTGGAAAATCTTAATTATAAGGTAGACTGAGCAAGGGGCACCCAAGAAGAGGAGCAATTCTGAAAGAAATGGGACCCAGACCCCTATGTCCCACCATGTACTAAACTAAAATAAAAATGGATCAAAGGCTGAACTGAAGTTGTAGGGATAGATAAGGATTTTCTGGACATAGCCCCAGCTGTACAGGAAATAGTATAAAGAATCGACACATGGGATCAGACCAAATTAAAAAGCTTCTGCACAACTGAAGAAGTAACCAGCAGAGTGAAAAGACAACCTAGAGAATACGAGAAAGAATTTTCCCAGCTATTCAATGGACAGAGGACTAAGATCTACAACATATGAAGAACTCAAAAAAGTAGAATCTCAGAATTAGACACCCAGTCAAAAAATAGGCAAGTGAAATGAATACACACTCAAGAACATATGGCCAATAAATACATGAACACATGTTCAAGATCACTGGCCATTACAGAAATATAAATTAAAACAACACTGAGAGTCCATCAGAAAGAATGGCCATCATCAAGAAATCAAATAGTAACAAATGCTGGTGAGACTGCAGGGGAAAAAAGAGCCCTTCTACATTGTTGGTGGAACATAAACTAGTATAATTGGTATGGATTTCTTCAATGAACTAAAAAAAGAAACTCCATTTCACCCAGATATTCCCCTTGTAGGCATCTTGCCAAAGAGTTAAAGACATCATATTACAGGGATATCTAGATATGCGTGTTTATAACAACACATCTCATAACAGCTGAATCTTGGAAGTAACCTATATGCCCATCAGCAGAGGGATGGATACAGAAATGGGACATTTATACATCATGGAGTATTACTCTGCCATAAAAGGTAAACTTGAGTCATTTTTAAGAAAACAGATGCACATAATGTTAAGTGAAATAAATCAGACACACAAGCTTAAATATCACTTAAATATTTCATATGAGAAACCCAAAATTGAAATAAAGAACAAAATAAATGATAATAGCAGGGAGATACAACTTTCTCAAATGGGAAGGGGATCAAGAGAGGGAGAGGGAGGGGATGAAAAGGAATTAAGATATGTTACACACATATACCAGCTCCACATAAGGGATGAAAATATTACGTACTGCAAACATGTCCAGTACAAATAAAAAAGAAAAGAGGTAGCCCGGAGCCATGGTATCATGCAAGGCTAAGAGAAGACAGATTTCCAAGAATGAAAGTGGTCCAGAGTTAGATACTGTGGAGAAGTCTAGTCAAATAAGGACTGAAATTGTTTGCTCAGGGAGACGGTAGATATGTCATTAGTGACTTCCGCCAGTTGTTTCTGGGACAGTTCTATCCAGGATGGTGGTGACGCAGGCACGTGGACAGCGGCTGGCTGAAGTGGACAGCACAAACATCAAACAAGTCCATCAGTGTGAGAAGTTCTACTGGACAGCTCTGCATTTGAGTGACAGCCCCAGACTGGCATTCACCTGAGGGCTTCAGTTCAGTTCAGAGTGGAAAGTTGAAGGTGACACTGGGTCCCCAGCCCTATTTCAGGTTAACCAGCTTTTATAGCCCCATTGTGGACACAGATGCTAGACATAAATAATCTGTTAACTAACTATTCTAATACTATACATTTTAAAAATCCTCCCCATCCCCGAATTATAAAGTATTACTGTTTACTTGAAACACACGAGAGACGAGTGCAAAATGCACCATTTGGCAGAGCAGCTGGGGGTAGTGGCTGACACAGATGCTGCCTTCTGTATAAAGTGTTAGTGGCTAAAGCAGCCCATGTGGACAGAGCTTTGATGAGGTCCTGTAGTTAGAACAGCAGTGAGTATGTGAAAACTAAAACTGAATCATACCTGAGAGTTTCTGCTCCACAACCACCACTGTGGTTCCAGCAGCTGTTACTTTTCCATTTCCACTGTCCCCGCACCTCCACCTCCTCATCTGGCCACAAGAGTCCAGGCTGCATCGAGTGGTTGTGTGCAGTTGCTGGTGCTTTTCGTGTATTTGCCACCTTACAATGAGTCCCTTCCTCGGTCATACCTTTTCTAGATCTTTCCAACTTTTTTTTTTTAAACTTAGCTGCTTCAAGGAATCAACTTTGGGCCTAGAGACTAATTAGTTCATTCACAAGGCCTCTCTCTCCTCTGGTGTATTCTTAAATCTGACTTACTGGTGACCAGTAGCTCAGAACCAGTAACAACTGTGAGGCACAAAGTAATTGTTGATTTAAAGTAAAAAGTCCTTGTTACAGCTCATGTGGTTAATAGTTAAAGAGAATGTTGACTTGTAATATATTTCTTTCTGTGGACTGGACACAATCCTTTGGTAGTTTTATCTTAATATTTCCTTATCACAGGTTATAAGTAAAATTGGATGAACTGTCTCAAGATTACTACAGGATTTGAATCCTAGAAAGGGTTTAGAGAAAAAAAGGTAGCCATAATTTTGTTGTAATAACACAGGTTGAGTAACTTTATCCAAAATACTTGAACAAGAAGTGTTTTGGATTCTAGGATTTATGTTTTTTTTGTTGTTGTTGTTGTTGTTGTTGTTTTATTCGGTTTTGGTTTTGGAATGTTTGCATATACATAATAGATGTTGGAGATGGAACCAAAGTCTAAACATGCATTTCATTTATTCTTAGGCACCCAGCCTTAAGGTATTTTATAGTTTTTGGTTTGTTGGTTTTTAGTGCCATGTGAATTTTGACTGCAGCCTATCATATGAGATCAGATATAAAATTTTCCACCCCGCCATGATGTTACTTTTAGATTTTGGAACATTATGGATGTGAAAACTTTAAATTAGGAACATTCAACCTGTAGTCATTTCACTTGTTGCTGAAGTTGTAGAAGCCATAGTAACACTGGCGGCGGCAGCAGAGATGATGTTTTAAATTACTGTACAGGTGCAACCCCAGATGGCCTATACAGATTAATCTTCATGCTGCCCTGTAAAGTAGACATAGTACCCTCAAACTACAGGCAAGGAATTGAGACAGAGAAGTAATTTGCCTTCGTAACTTCTGTTAGTAAAACAGCAAAGCCAGGAGTACAACTCAGGTGTGTCTGGCTCTGAAATCTGTGTTCATTCTAGTTCACAGCCCAGTTTAGAAAGCTGAATTAAAACTAGGCCTCAGTACTAGGAAAGAACTTTGAACCTTAGAGAGCAAAAAACTCTCTCAGACAAAATGGAATACATTCAGAAGCAGGAACAGGGTTTTAGAATTTTTTTACCTTATCTGAAAATGTATAGTTCTGAGTTTCAGACCAAAGCCAGTCAGTCCGGCAACAGATGGAAGTTTAATAAGTGAGGTCAAGGCTCAAAGGCAGAGTTTTCTTTAACTAAAAAGATTCTGAGTTTCAAGCCCATCTTCAGACTATAGGACATGGTTAACTATGACCTGTATGTGGAGGCTTCCAAGAGAGATCAGTGGACCTGAACACAAATCACTTCTGACAAAGAGAAACTACTGATGCATTCAATTTAAATTTCTTTTCAGTCAGTATTGAAATAAAGTTTGGTTTTCCAAAGAGTGCTTAGGCCAGAGAGTACAGGTCCAAAGGAATATGCAAACAAACCTTTTAGAGAAACTGGTACAGCCGCAGACATCTCTAATTTACTGTAAATTGGTGGCTGTGGGCACTGAAGAAAAATGTGCCCATCACACTTGAGCCTGAATTTGTACCTCAAGTGGCCTCAGTGACACATCACTGTGCAGATGAATAAGCAGGAGAATGAGCTTCCTTTGAATGCAGGTACCTTTTGAGCCCACAAGAATATGGTTTTGTGCATAGAACTAGGGCAGTTTTTTAGTTTAAATGGGTAGTTTCTACATCTTAACCCTTCATCCCCTTAGCATCATGGTGACAGTGCAAGCCATGGCCCAAGGTGGAGGATATGGTTTAAAATGTATCGTTTTTGTGTCCTCTCACGGCTCTTCCAGGAGGAAGGATTTTTCAGGGCCTCATGAACCTGGATTTCCTCCAGAAAAATCCAATTACAGTACTAAAGTTGTGGGCCGGGAATTTAGCTCACTGGTGCTGCACCTGCCTCAAAAGCACTAGGTCCTGAGTTCAATCCCAGTACTAAAAGGGAAACTAATTAATAATAATAGTAAAGTTGTTACTGATTTTAAAAACTGCACATTCCAAAATGAAAAACTCCCAGTGCCATGACTTATCTGCCCAAGAGGGATCTTTCTAAATGCATGGTAGTATTGTGGCTGCCTCTCCAGGATTCCAGATCTCTCTTCCTTTTGTACAAAATGCATTCACTGGCAAAAAGGAGCAGCCAAGAATAAATGCTTCTACCCTGGACAGGAGTCATTCAGTCTCTCGATTCAGTGCTCCAAAGGCAACTTCCAGAGAGGTCAAGAGCCTTGTGATGTCCACAAAGTGCATAAAACCTACTCAAGCATTGAGGCATTCCTTTACCCTCACCTGAAATACCCCCGTCCATCTGCCCTACCACTGCCCCTCTACTCATCCTTCAAGGCAACATAAATTCCTGGAATACATTAGATGCTCAGCTGGACAGGTGAGCAGGTGGAAGGGAGGAAGAAAACTTACAGAGAAGTACCTGGCTTTAATTTAGAATGGATGCCAAAGCTTTTGTAAATAAGGAGGGGAAGGAGAGTTGAAGGGAGGGTAGGGGATGGGGAAAAAAAGAATCAAGATGTATCATGTACAGATAGAAATTCCCTATGATGAATGTGATCATCATGTATACCTAAAATGTACCAATAAATTTAATTTTTAAAAACTTTTAACTAGGATGGATGCATGGACATGTAGGCAAGCCCTTGAGTAACTCTCTGGCCTATTGGCACCACCCCTTGCAGCTCTTTGTTTCCTGTGTCAGAGTGATCTGCCACATCTCCCCCTGCCAGCGCATGGCACCATCTCCTCTCAGCCCCTCCCCTGCTCTCAACCTTCTAATTAGGCAGAGCTAGTACTCAACAGCAAACAGATTTTGACTGGCCAAACTGGAGAGACAGCAGTCATCTGTAGAGATTAACTTTCAGGCCAGGGTCCTCAAAGAGAGACATAGGGGTCTAACTTCTTTCCTGATGGTGTTTTTGGCTACAGCATCACAGCCACAGCTGCCAGCATTGGAGCGGCTGGAGTGCCCCAGGCTGGCCTGGTGACCATGGTGATTGTGCTGAGTGCTGTGGGCCTGCCTGCTGAGGATGTCACCCTGATCATCGCTGTTGACTGGCTCCTGTGAGTTGGAATGAATGACCCGCCTCCGCTTCCTAGCCATGCAGAGTCTGCAGTCTGCCATCATTCTCTTCTCCAGCTGCCTAATGAGCCATCTGGTGCTTCTTTAATTTCCCTCTGACCAGGTCCTCTTATAATATGTTTAAAATTTAACTCCTCATAACTTGGAGCAGTTGTTTTAAAAAACCATTGTGCTCCAATCTCCCATTACACCTGGTAATATTCAAGGTTAGGACCTGGGTGTGGGATAAGATAAACATATGGATAACAGAGTTAAGGAGCAGGGCAAGGCCCTGTAGCCATCCCAGTTTAACCCAGCCCTGGTTTAGCATCACAGACTAAAAGCCACTAAATTCAAAACCAGTGCGTCTTCCCAAGCATCTTTGGAGTCAACAGAGGCTTTGGAGTAAGACCGATTTGGGCATGAATTTCCCATCCAGTGTCTTCAGTAGCTTTTTGTCCTTCAAGTTTATTGCTTCTCTGAGGTCTAGAAGCATTATGTGTGAAATGAGGGAAATTCTGCCGGCCTCCTCGGCTTCTTTAGTGACTTAGTGAGCTCAGGTTAGTCAGTGTCTAGAACCATGTATGGCAGGCAGTGAAGCTTGTTATTATGAGGTTTTTCTGTTGATTAGAATGAATTGAACCATTTCTTCTCACTTTTCTATATGTCGTATACATATACATGTGCACCCCACCCCTTTCCACATACAGATAAAAAATAAGCAGAACATCTGGGTCAGAATATATCTTGTGTTAAAGTTGGAACTAGCCTGGTTCCTGGCTTTTCTTTGATGCCACCTCTGGGCGTTGGTCCTCCAGCACCTGGGTCTGTCCCTCATCCTGGCCAATGGGGCACATGTAACTCCAAGAGAACTTCCCTTGGATCTGGCTTAGGCTGACTGGGGAGTCCAGGACTATCTGCAGATGGCAGCTAAGATGGAGGAAAAAAGCAGCAGCGATGGACTGTGTAGGCGCAAGCTCTGAGCCTGGCTGAGAAGGCCCCTCGGCAGCTAGACAGGAATCTAAGACCCAAATGAAATGGCCCTGTCCTTTAAAAAATACCCTAACACTGAGACAAGCTTTAGTTTTTCTTCCCAGTGGTGATGGTGGCTTTGTCCTTCTGTCCCTTCCCTCATCCTTCCTGGAACCAGTGACCATCACTGTCAAGACAGCCAGATAAGTCAAACTCCAATCTGAAGTCATGAGATGAAAAGACACTAGAGCTAGTTCAGCATGTAGCCTTGGTCTAAATAACAGAAATGCATCCAGAGTGGACAAAGGTGGGCGTAGTTGGCCTTTTCTGTCCTGTAGGTACAGTTTTCACGAGAACGTGCATGGACACAGTTCTTGGCAACAAACGCCACTGTCCCAATAGATGCTCCTCTCTGCAGCAGTCCTTCTCTACCTGCCACCAGCCTCTTCTGCAGGCTTTCTGGGAGTTCAGACTGGATGAGGGCATTTCAAGAAGTCCATTCCTGGACTGACCTGTGTTTTCTGCCTATGGTCTGCCATGAGCTGACTCGTGCTCTGCCATGTGTCTGCTGGCTTGCTCACTGTGACCTCATTTCATAAACAAACCAGACACACACACACACACAGCACATACCACCCACACAACATCCAGGTTCTCTCCTTAGTCGAGAGAGAGCCCACAAGGTCAGCGGAGTGATGAACTCACAATATAGGTGTTAGGGTTGGAAGTCCTCAGCCTCCTTTGTCCCCTAAACATGTCTGTGGAGATTCTGTTCATGTTTCTTGGGGAGGAGAAAAAGATCACAGGGGATTTAGGGACCCTCTTTGTTCATTTTGTACCTTTATGAATGACCGTTTGCCTCAGGCCTGTGAGGTGCCTCTGTTCAGCCAGCCAGAAGCAGCATTTTCTACACTGGCGGAAATCTGAGCTGAATGTGTCAAGTCCTTTCCTACCTCCAGCTCCTGAAGGAAAATGAAATCTGAGCTCCCTGACGTGCCTGTTTTCTCCCTAGGGACCGGTTCAGGACCATGGTCAACGTCCTTGGCGATGCTTTTGGGACTGGCATCGTGGAAAAGCTGTCTAAGAAGGAGCTAGAGCAGATGGACGTTTCATCTGAAGTTAACATTGTGAATCCTTTTGCCTTGGAATCTACAGTACTTGATAATGAAGACTCAGACACCAAGAAGTCCTATGTCAATGGAGGCTTTGCAGTAGACAAGTCTGACACCATCTCATTCACCCAGACCTCGCAGTTCTAGAGCCCTGACTTCAGATGACTGGAGTGACAGAGGACAATCTCTTAATGAATCCAAACACTTAGAAGAAAAACAAAATAATAATCAGCTGTACATTTAGTTTGATATACAGAACTCTAGATTATTTTCTATATATTTGGTTTGATAAGCCTTTGCTGTCTAAATTTTAGGATTGGGATGGGGTAAAAAGAAAAAAATCTCAAAAAGAAGTTGTATCTTCTGGCTTTTAAAAATTCTTTCAAAAGCTTGGAAGTGCATAAAATGTTGGAAGTAGGTAATAGTGGAGGGTAAATTGTTTTCTCTATTGTAGACCAGTATCTTGGATTTTAAAAAAGAAATTCTCTCATTGGCTACAAATTTTTACTCAGGCTTTTATCGGTGTGGCTTTCCTTTGACCTCTCACTTTATAGATTATAATGCATCTAAACAACCCCATCTAGTTAATGTGCCAAATTGTCCATTTTGAACTCATCTCCAGCCGATTTAAAAAAAAAGTGCTAAAAAAAAAAAACACCCAAAAACAAAACAGACCAGCACAGTTCTGCAATAACAGTTTTAAGATAAACATAGGGTTCAGGCCAGGCGTGGTGGCGCATGCCTGTAATCCCAGCAACTCTGGAGGCTGAGGCAGGAGGATCACTTTGAGTTTGAGACCAGCCTGGGCTACATAGCGAGTTCCAGGTCAGTCTCAACTACACAGTGAGACCCTGTCTCAAAAAAAAAAAACAGGGTTCAGGGATACAGGAGGATTCTTTTTTCATTGTACTGTATTGGGACACTGATAACTGTTCACCAGTGTTCAGTATAGAACTATATGTATGTGTATTTATTTTTTTCATATAATTTGCAAGACAGAGATCAGAATTGAACTGTCAATGTGAAAAAAGGAGCTCTCCTTGTACTTGAATAACTACAATTCCAACCCAAGTCTGCTGCAGGGCTTATTGGAACTCCTTTCTCAGGAGCGCTGGAATGAGAAATCAAGTTGTCGGATTGTTTCACGTCTGTGTATCTGCCCTAAAGTGAGACGTATCTTGGTGATACTCCAGGATGGTACGGCCATTCTTTTCTAACTTCCAGATTCAAGCTGCCTGGAAGGAATCCATGCCAATTCTACCTAAGGTGGAATACAAAGGTGTCACTTCAAAAAGGGTGGCTGTGCTTGTGACCAACTGAACGGCGGCTTCATTCTTCCAAGTTCACTCATACCCACTTAACAAGGCCAGTATTTTGCTGCCTTTACACTTTTGTACCTATCAGGGCCCAAATAACACTGGCAAGCTACCAGCTAAGTTGTGCTTTAAAGTAGATTCCGTTGGTTGAATAAGCC